GTTGGTACTACGTAATAATAGGGACTTTTTTGTGGTCGAGGGCAATATGCAAAATTGATATTGACCATCGATGAAGGTCAATGTTGACCTTCTCTTAACTCCCATCAGTAGTTATATGAAGAGCATGGAGATAGTCCCATCTTGTAATGGCAAAAGTTATATACGTACAGAACAGACAGTCTATTTTCTGGTCAGATATTTAGACAAGAACGAGGTGTCCAGTCCGCACTTTGAAATGAAAGAGGGAGTGGTGTAGACCATATACTCAAGAATATTGAAAGTGGCGTCTTAAATTGCAGCCGCGCCGCAAACTTCGAGAAATGAGCATAAGGCTTCAGTGGAGCCTACGTACGCCTACATAATGCAGGCGCACGTCTGAGGCTCCAAAAACCGTATGGTCATAAGATTTCTCGAAGGTGGCATTGGCATGCGATTCAAGCGCATCACGAATTGTTCATGATAATCTTGTTCATTTGTTAATGGTACATTTTTGTCCCGTCCCCAACTGGTCTACATAATCAGCCCGTCGTGCCTCACAATTCATTCTTTTCACACTTTCGTCATGGGCTTGCAGAGCCTCGATCTGGCAACTTTACACAATAAATACAGCTGGTTCAGTGATTCCCGTGTCGGGGTTCAGATCACTGAACCGGCTATATTGTGTAAAGTTGCCAGATCGAGGCTGTGCATGCCCAATGGCGGAGTGTGAAAAGAGCGATCTAGTTTTAGCATTGTGGCGAGGGGTAGAGTTATTGCTGGTTTGCCTTCCAAGCCAAACTCTGATACGTAGGATCGTTTGCTTTTTTGCAGTTTTGTTTGTTGTTTGAAGCAATGAACTTGCTCAAACATGATCTAACCCGTTACTTTTTGCTCACACAGCCCAGCGGCTACTTTACATTTTGGGAGAAACTAAACAGGCGCAATTTTTGGGGTGTTTCATAATCATACTGGATTCCGTTGTTAACGCACGTAAACAAAATGTGCGTCCACGTCTACGGGCAACCTATATTTTGAAACCGTGCTAGTTTTCCTCCAAACTGTATACCAATTTCGGGCAGAGCAATTTTGATTCCAGTCGGATATCTTCATTTTGAACCAGGTTTAGTTAATATAAAGGCATACGTAGGCCCTAGTATAGTAGAATTTTCAATTACCCGGATACGTACCTACCGATTTAACGATAAAATATTTGCGAACATAGGACTGGTATACCACATACCCTTTGAAATTCTTCCGCCTGAAATGTATCATTTAGAAGCAAACAGTCGTTGAAGGTGGTTGAAGAAAATGTGTCAATGGACCATTATGTTTAGTAACGTGTTAATTAACGGAATCCAATTACGAGACCCGCAAATTGTACATACGTTTTCTCTGAAATCATCTCAAAATGTATTGTATCCACTAAGCTGAAACTCCAACAAGTTAGTTTGCACAAAAACCCCAAATAATCCTTTATGTATATGTATCTCTAAAGAGGTATCCAGGCAATTGCAAATGATCCTAGATGGCTGTAACTTCAGCGGTTTGGTTTCATTTGATTACATTTCAAAGAACGCCAAACAATATTCTATTCAATCTAAACAATATTCGTTCAGATTGGTACCAAATAATAAGGGATTGGGAATGCATGTACAAATGTGGATAAAAAGGTTTGCGTCTAAGAATAAAAATTACCATGTTGCATCTCGCGGAATACTGCATTGTTGAGGCAAAAAACAGACAAGTAGAGGTAAAAGACCTTTAGTTTATTAATACTAGTATGACACGATGACTTTTAGGTGCACACCAAATTTTATTTCAAGATTGTCCAAGAATTTACAGATATTCTGTGTCCAGTATATTCTTCAATTGATTACTCTGATTTACATTGACAGGCACTTTGTGGTTATGTTCTTTATAATGTGCTATAATTACAATGTTTGTTTTTACTTAGTTTTTCTAGCCTATGATACCAATGTAAACCTAAACATAAAGCTTCAAAAAATATAGTGCAGTATAATTTTAAAATAATTACTTTGGTTACAGCTGATTTTCTTTCTGTACATCAACATTTCATTTACATAATGACCGAGAAGTATTTTAACAAGAGTACAATGTAGTTTTAAAATTATACAATGTCTGCTTAGTTCTATAGAGAGCTTTTCTGTGAATCCTGGATATAAGATACGAAATGGGAGCGGGGGGGGGGGGGTGAACAACTCCACTCCATTGTTTCAATGAAAATAACTAAAGAAAATTCTGTCCAGAAACGTGACTTGCTTCTTTTTATTTATTTATTTATGTTTTAGATCTGGGCTATCAGAAATATACGATCTTTCGGGAGACATGCCTTGATTTGTCGGAGTCCGTTTTGCTGCACTCATTGACAAATGTATCTTTTTGTACAAGCAAGAATCATCTTGGGTTAAGAGTGACCCTGAAGTTTGGCCTCCAGGAGAAGATTTATCCAATTCTGTAAAAAAAACAAAAAACAAACAGAGAGAGTAATTTGCCCTATTTGGGGGCAATACGTATACATGAAGTTGTTTTCTCTTCAATATGACACCCACGATGCTATTTATTTTAATGTCAATTCTTTCAGCATACCAGCAAAATGTTTGCTTCATACCAAAATAGTTTTTGTTGATCTTGAACGTGCTTTTGCTGGCTTCTCCCTCACTTATGGACCGTCCTTTCTCGACTAATTCTTCTATTATGTACTCACATTTTGGTTATTCATACAACAATGTTTGATTCTTCGTACGTTTGAACTTATACCTTTTTAAGAGGGACAGTGGCGTATACTTGTGAAACAATGTAAAGGACAAGAATAAAAAGATAAAACTAAAATAAACTTCATTCACTAATTATCATGTCAGTGGTGATGAAACATTGATTCCGAAAAAAGTGGAGACATAAAACATACTTTAAAACAGACTAAAGCGGCCTGTTGAAACTCACAACACCCCCCCCCCTCCCCAACCCCCAAAAGGGAAAAACCAACAAGCTAGTTTACTGCGCACTCTAAGTGCAGTGAATATATCCACGATAGATATTTTGATTCTAAACGCAAGAAATGGCAAATTAATTAGCCCAACTGCTACCTTCCCAAAGCCTCATTCAATATTAATTGCACATTCATTTTCCACAAGCTAAATAGACCTACTACGATGACATTATTGCAACCGTTAATATAGCAACTCCACAATTTCGCTGCAAATAAGTCGTATATTCTAAACTTCAGTCATCAACCCCTATCACTTAAAACTCTAAATCTTATTTATTTTTACTCGTTTGCCTAAAATCTCATAACCTCATTTTCAGGAAACTTAAACTTTTATATTCAACAAGCAAACAAAATGTAGTACTTATAAAAGAGTAAAATTTGCTTTTCCTGCAGACACACAGCACATACCGGGGCTAACTGCAACCTTTCCCCCAGGGCTATAAAGCAGTAACCACCGTCTATCCTCTACATTTGAGTAAATGATATATACCACATACCCGGGGACAAGTTTGCTTACAAAGACAATGCTATAATAATAATTTTATAAAATTTGACATTGAAAGGTGTGTGCAAAGCCAATTATACAAAATAACGTGAAATCTCTGTTTTTTATTGTATGCTGGTGTAGTTTTTTCCCCTATATATATGAAGCATAAGCATGAAAATGTATCACTAATTAATTAGAAATATCTGAGAATTGGATACCATTGTCTATATATACATATATACTTTGACAATTCACATTACAACTTAAAACCAACTTTTTCTCAGTTTTCCTCTATGACAACAAACTCGAGATCTTTTAGTGTATAAAGATTTTTTAAGTACTTTTGACCTTTCAACATACAAACTTTTGTAAATTGTACACAAAATGCTCTGCTTGCTCTGAAAAAAGCCACACCAAAGGGAACATAATACTAGTAGTACCGAGTAATCGAATAAAAACTGTTACATGTAATGGCATTTTCCGTGCTCCACGAGAGCGAGTGAGATTAGGGCAAACTTGACACACAGAAAAGCATGTGGAACGCGCACACTGTACACAAACTTGTCAGCAGTTATCCTTTTACATATGCCTGCAGTAGGAACAGTGGGCCTACCTCAGAATAGCGACCAATCTGGACCAAGGATTCTTGAAGTTGACTTGAAGATAAGAGGTCATGTACATGTACAGTACCTGTAGTTGCTGCATAACAGTTCACTGATTTTGAATGACAATCTATAGATTCCTGTACCTACAATTATATTTATCTTCAAGTAAACTTGAATCCTCAATCCTGATTGGTCGATCCATGGCAACAAACCGTGATACATTATCCCATGTAGCATGGTCCATACTGCACTCTGCATATTACGCTATTCGATTCCAAGATGCACGCGTCATTCCAGTTCGTGTACAGCATGTGTGTTCCATTATTACTGAGCTTCAAATTTGCTTGCAAAGATAAATTCGTTATCCCACTCGCACTCCTGGATCAAGGAAAATGTAGTGCGTCTGTGTCCCGCATACCACTCGGCCTTCGGCCTCATGCCATGTGGGACACAGATGCGCTACATTTTTTAGTATTCCTTGAATAACTAATAATGTGGCACCTTTATACACAGTTTTGCTTTATGTAGAGACAGCACATGTATAAATTTAAAAACGAATTAGTTTTAACAATTCTCTTCTTTAAAATTATTCTAAAACTTACTGATGGAATTTCATCTTAAAATAATTCCGGACAACGGAATAAATATGCGGACAACTGAATTTAAGTGATAACTATTCTAAAACAGATGTTTAAAATATGTTACCTACTATATGGGAATTTCAAAGCAGTAAGCACATTGTAGAAAAACAAACTATGTTCATCAGGATAACAAATGAACTATATTTTTTCTTTGTAATTTTTTTAAAGCTATCTTTAAGTTTACTTTCCCGAATTCTTCCACAGTACATACAGTGATGACGTTACCTGTACATGCGTTTTGTTTCATATTTCACCGTCAAGTTTATTTACACAAAGGATGAAAGTTCAAAAGGTAAAAATATTTCCACTTACATGTACATTTGTAATATAAATGAATAAAATAATTAAAATTTAAGGGGACGTTAATATCCATGAAGAGTGGGTAGTTCCTACACGGCCTTTAAAAAACAAAATTTGAAAATAACTGGAATGACATATTTGGAGTAAAAAATAAAGTAAAAAATAAAGTTAAAAAAACCCCAAATTGCAATTTAATCATTTTTTCCCGGATTTCTTGAGATGTCTGCGTATGCCCTTTTTGTGAAGCTTTCTTGCGTCTGTAGTCTTTGATTCTGAGTTCGGATCAGGATGATGTTGATCTAGATGCTGTTGATGATGACGCAGCTGTTGATGATGAGAATGTGAGAGATGGTGAGAGTGGTGAGAAGTAGGAGCATGGAGAGCCGCAAAGGGGTCAATTTCTTCCTCATACTCCAGATCCTCGTCTCCGACGCTCCTCCGATGCTTCAAATCTTGTGCCTCATTCTCATCACTCGCCTCCGCCACATCCTCATCCTGTCTCTGAGCCACGCCCACCTCCCCGTCCTCCGAATCCATCCCGTCATCCTCGATATCTGCAAACATGTCATCCTCCATGAAACCGTGGCTGTCCCAGTCCTCCACGTCCGAGTCCCCACCCTGCTCACGCTTCAGGGCCCAGAGGGCAAAGTTGCCACGCCGCAGCTGTGCGGACATCCGACGCCGAGCCGCCCGGGATGTGGGCACGTATAGCATGTCATCCAGGTAGTCTTCGTCATGCGTCGTCGTCACGATGTCCGAGTCTGGGCCCATGGTGTAGCTGCAGCTGCTCCCCCCATCCTCGCTACTTCCGTCTTTTCCCCTGTTGCTGCTTATCCACCCTGGCAGAGAGACAAATTTCAATATTCATCAAAGCCATTCCTTTTTGGACAAGTTTTCTTCTGAAGTAGACAAATATAAAATGCTGCTGAATTTATGTTGACAAATACGGTTGTAGGCAGATATTGCTTCGAAATTCTCTCTGGACAAATCTGAGAACAGAGTCTGTGTACACTCAGTGTGGTCCCCAGTAATATTGGAAGCATGAAGCCAGTTGTATGTGCTGTGCTAAGATTGGTCTATAATTTTTAAGTCAAATTTTGAGGTGAAAGATTGACTGAGGGATATTACCTGGCCTTCCTATCTGTTAAAGATTTCCACAGGAAACCAATACATAACCCCTATCTTCCCATAAATGGTATAGCTTCAAATGAAACATCCAGGCCATACCACTCCAAACAGTATTTGCAATGTATGCATTAGATGCTTGTTGTACCTATCAAACATGACCCAAGTTTAAACATTGTCCCAAGTTCAATATCCCAATTCTGACTTCAAATTTGATTCTCATAAAGTTTGAACCAGCCTTTACAAAACTTCTTCTGCAAATTCTGCGTCTGTGTCTTGGAAACAAGACCATTGATATGAACATTAGTTGTTTTCTTTCTTCTCTTCTTGACAAATGGCAAATTAGGAATCTTTAGTTGCAACAACATAAATCCAAAATAACGAGAGCTAACTACTTTTTCATGATGTCAGAAAGAAACCTTTCAAGTTTTGAAGAAATATCAACAGCTTTGAAAGATACATGTAACAGGTAGAAAACAGGAGAGGAGATAGGCATAGTGGCCGTTCAAGTGCACTGCATTCAGCAATCTGTGTGTACAACTTGTGGTGTTGCAATAAAAACCTGTACTTACTAAACATGCAACGAGCAGTTCAATGCTCAGTCTTATACTTAAGAAAGACACACAAGCCGGAGTGCCGAGCCTAATTTCATGGCCCTGTTAACTTAAAACAACTAATAAAGTAATAATCTCATTCTGCGCTTACGGTTCAGCAAAGCGATAATGTGCTGACCCTGAGTGTAAGCACAGAATCTGTAATTATGGGATGTGTGCCATTATGTGTTTCGTAGGAAAGAAATACACAGGCATGCAACTGGGAATTTAGAAAAAAAAACGAGGAAAATTCCAAACCACCCAAGACTTTGTAGAGTGTTTCTAAATTTGTAATGGCATTCATGAGAAGTTAAAAACCAGGAATCAGCGGATCCGCGTAAAAGTTGCATGCCTGAATACATGGAAACATAAGTACTGGAACTACACATGGACTTGACTTTTTGATTTGTTCTCGAGTATAGTGTTTGAAAGAAATAATTGGATTGTCATTTTCTTGTTACTGTCGGTTTTAATAAACATATTAACCAAAATAAGTGGCATTCCAAAGAAAAGAAGACTTACCTGGAATATACATGTTGTAATCAAGTTTAATTCCATATTCAGATGTGCAAAATCAGTCTTTTTGAAATTTAAGTGCATACAAATTCTAAGGCATCTTGTTTGTTAAGTGGCATTCCTTTTTTCAATAATTGTAAGTTGTACTTTATGCCGATGCCAATTTTCAATTTGAATTAGTGGTTAAGCTGTTAGAATGCATGCCAAATGACACGTCATGAAGTGGGGGAAAAATGCATTTCAGTACCAATTTTATCATCACATTCAACTCCAACTGGCAGTTCAAGATGAGTTCTCTGTGTTCTTCAACAAATTCAATTTTGCATGTTTTATTCCTCCCCCCCCCCCCCCCACCAACTGTCATATGCACTAAAGAAAACAACATGTTAGTAAAAACAATAATCACTTCAATTTAAATATCAATATGCATAACATTCATTACGGGGAAAAGCATTCATCATCGGGAGAAACACAATTTTGTTAAAAGTCATTACAGTCACAAACAATGTCCATTGCTATAATGTTATCAGATGCTGGCATCAATACAGTACAATGCATAAAAACATGCACTGATGCTCCAGCATGTATCGTAGCATGGAAGGGTTTATAATCAGATTGGAATCTTCAAGAAAACAAGTTTATCATTAACCTTTGTATTAAAACAGGCATGAAAGAAGGCATTTCAAAATCAACAATAACATTATCTGCTGGCAAGAAAATATGAGGAAGGTTCCCCAAACTCTTAATTCCTGGGTAGCTAATTAAAGAAAGCCAGTATTCTTCCCTTGCAAAAAATAATGCCAGTCCATTTAGTGTTGTTCCATCATCAGCAAGACATGCAACAGCCATGCACCATCATGCAATGAATGCATTCCATGCGAGAACACCATGCAAACTAAGGAAGCTGCTTCAAAGAAAAACAGTTCCTCCGAGGAACCCATCTCTGGAACATGCACTCTGGGAAGCACGGCCTCCGGCCCATAACTCAACGACACAAATGAACACAACTTTCTTCAACGAAATGTTTCTACAGCAACTCAACTCAACAACAAAACAAACGGCAGGCAATTTGGGGTCGTTCTCATCAGCAGTTGCCATGGCAACATGCAGGATGCAGAGTTAAGGAGGAAACGAGAACAGAAGTGATTGGAGAAATAGCAAGGAGTTGAGGAAAGGACATTTACAGATGAGGAAGATATAAAAATGATGAACAGAAGATGGGTAAATGGATACGAGATCAAAGATGGAGAAGTATTAGGTTAGATGCAGAGGTTAAGTTAGGGAGGAAAAGTAGTATTTGAAAATTGTTAGGAGGCAAGAAGGACATACTTGAAGACGCAGCATTATAATCAATTTCAGAATTCTGAGAGAAGAATATTCATAGCTGCATCTTGTCAAATGTCATTCTACAAGTTATTTGCATTGAATTACTTGTTGCTTACATATAGAAGGCCTGGTTGAAAAATTGAACAGGCTTGCAACAGAGCGTGTAAGTCTCGCCAGCTTACGTTCACTTTTATGTGAATGTCGCGGTATCAAACACTGACTAGTCTAGTCACAGACTCGTGTTTGAATTTACCAACTTGTTGTCTGCGTGATCGATTGAACAAAGGTTGATTGAAGTCAACAATATGAATTTTATAATAGTCATCAATACGCGATATTTTCAGTATGTTGTAAATTCCAATGTTTTTGTGTGTGTTGAAAGACCCATTTATTATTTGATTGAATGGGCCCAATTCAGGACACAAGATAAACTTATTTATTCTGACACTCCACAAATGGAATTAACCCTTATAAAGAGCATTTTCTTGAGCAAATATTTACAGCTCTCTTAAAGACTTGTCTCATTTCATTATTGATCTTTTTTTTTCGGCGAAAGGACTTACGATTATGGTGCTGCTTCGAACAAAAATAAAATAAGGAAGTTAGGTAAATCAGGACGAGAGGTGGACAAAAAGAAAGGAACATAAGTAAACAAAGACGAAGGGTAAACAGAAAGATGAAAAAAAAATTAAAAATTATGAGCGAAGAAAGGAAAATGGAGTTCCCGTCCGACTCATCTTACATGACAGTGCATCGGACAAGACAAGCCAGGGGTATCCAAGCGTGCACTGGGCCGCCGCGCCGGGCAGCAGGCACCAAAGATACAACGAGCAGCGAACAACGGCCAAAGCCAGGGATGATGAGTACTGACCCCACACAGCTACGCCACCACCACCCTCCTGTCACGGAAAGATACATAGATGGATGGATATACGGGTGTCCAGACACAATGGATGGTCGGGATTTTGAAAATGATGAAACAGTGTGCTTGAGCATTGGTGAGGGGCAGGGGTAGGCATGGGTGGCTATTCAAAACAAAAGACCTTATAATTTTGTATTGCATGGTAGGTACCAGTAAAGCGTTTTTGCATTCATTGTTACTTAATTTAAATAACAAAGAACCCCATCTCAGACACCTGCAACATGTAAAGTCTATTCATCTGGGCTCAAAGTTATCAAAGAATTTATGAATGGTAAATTTTTTTTTGCTTAGTCAAAGTTTTAGTAATATTAAAATCATGATTAAAAAATGGCATTTAAAAAAAAAACACCATAAACTAAAACATAGGGTAACAAATCAAAGCTATTCAATTTATAGCTTTGTTCATTTGAAATGTTTGAAAGTTAAGCACATAATTCAAGGAATATCCCCTCCCCCACCCCCCCAAAAAAAAAATTTCAAAAATTGAAACAAGTTTTTTTTTTTACATGAACTACGTGCGCATTTTCAGTTGGTGAAAGACGTACAGGTCCACAAAACCACAAACTTTAAAGCTTAGTTCTGGAACCCCGCCATTCACAACAAAATGAATAGCCACCCATACATCATTGAACCTTTTTTTGGGAGGGAGCTTTAACTAGAGAATAAAAAATTAACCAACCATCAGAGACAGAAAATATATCATTAAAACCAAAACAAGTAACATCTGGGGAACATTTCAATGCAAAATGTTCAAAAAATTGTGAGCCCCACAGACTTTTTTTTTGGAGGGGGCGCATCTTTTAAACTTGTCTTTTGTTTTGGCTAAAAACTGTTTTGGCCTTTAGTTTTTTTTTCTTGGCCAACATGTAAACTCTATTCTTTCCTAAACATGGCTCTATCATTGCAGTATGTGGGAGGACACACATACAAAGCACTCTCAGGATATATCTACACTGCACAAAAAATGCATGCATGTTGCAGAAATCGCACAAACAATAATCAGGATTTCTTAATCCCTACAACTTTGGTACAAAAGAAGTGATAGACGTAGAGCAAATTTTGTCAATGATTCTTTTTGGGTTCTTTTGGCAAATGGATGAACATGGCAAAAAATGATCACACAGATTTTTGGAAATGAATGGAATTCTCAGACAGAAAAATGACAAAATAGCTAAAAAGTCAAATTAGGTTTTGCCCTTCACCGACGTTTTTTAAACACTGTATTCTCAGCTAAAAAGTCAATCTGTAATAGTGACTGCAGATTTACACAAAAAAAAGATGAGAAAACTGTAGCTCAATTTACAACGAAAAAAATCAAAATCTTTTGAGCTGTGAAAAGTTGACAAATCCAAATTACCTTCTGTGTCCTGCCTTCATCAAATCTGCAGGATGGTGGGCGGAGACAACCGTTAAAAAAGGGGATGGGAGAAGCAAGGTGGGAAAAAATTAAGGTGAATGAAAATGAAAGAAAAAAAAAGACACCACTCCGACAAGTAATCACAACATCAATAAAAACTGTCGACTAGTATCTTGGAACACACGCAATATTTGATAGGATAAAAGTCGGTAGGAGAGCGAAAATGGGCATCATTATCATATTTATTCTGATATGTCGTCTGTTTCATCATCATTAAATCAGCTTAGGAAGCTACTGGTATGGGTAAACTCAAGACCATTGTAACTATTTTCATTATAAATATTTTCAAAATTAATGAGCAGTATTTTATTATGGTGACGGGTCAATGTCCCCAAACCTTCAGAAAACTTGTACCCATTTTACTGATGTTTTGTATTCGCTTAAAAGGGGACCAGACTAGACTTAAACTAGGATATCCATAGAAAGTCAGCATAATTGGGCAAAACATTAGCAATAAGATTCAGTTCAAAAAGACTTCTCAAAACACCACATCTGATATCTTTTGGGATTCATGAACTTGATGAAGGAACAGGCTAAATAATCTTTTTAAATATGTGTTCTCTATTAACACCCTTGGAAATAAAGTAGCAGTCATGTTTCAAAGAATTTTAATCTTTTTTTAATGATTAAACAAAACCACAGCATAATACTATGCAGTTTTTCACCAGAACACTCATATCTGGCACTGCAATGTGCAGGGTTAGGCATCTGTGTGGAACATCATGCTATGTGGACAAGGATACTGGTATAAAAACGAATTATACACACACATGCAAAAACAAGGCACAAAAACAATTAACAAATTACGACAGTCAAGTAAAATGACCAATTCTGACTCGCAGCGATTCACCAAACTGACTATAAATAAAACTAACAGGTTGCAAGGGGGGTTCGAGGATTTAGGAAAAGTCATTTAGGTAAAATTTCATGTTTATAAGGTTTCTACTTTACGACCTCAGAGTGTGATAAATTTACTATTCACACCTGAAATTAGAATGTAATTACGTCTGCTAATGTTCTTTTTCTTCAAAATTGATGTCCAAAAAATGGTATGTTATAGGAGCAAAACAAAAACTTGTTTTCTTGAAAATTTAAACTCCATATACAGAACCTTTTAAAAACTCTACGTACCTTCCTGCACTGATATTACATAGGGGAAAAATAGTTGCATATTTGCTGAGAAAGATCTAAAAATGGTTTTTCAACTAAATGCCGGACCAAAGTTATCGGCATTGTTGTTGGAGTACAAGAACAGTGCCTCCAAAAGCAGCAAAATCGAACCTTACTGAGGCCGACTCAACAAAGATGTTTAATCCAAAATTGGTTCTTCTTCCTATTTGGTTTGGAATCCAGGCTATGATTAGACTGGTGACATGTACCATACCAATGGCTTCTCTATTGGGGAAGAAATCTATTGGTGTAACCATGGTGATATAAAACTGATGAATACAAAAATATGTGAATGATTAGTAACAGCCAAAAGTGACAACAGCCCAAAACAGCAGCATGTTAGTACACAAAACGCAGGTGATCAGCTGATGAATCTGGCAATCTCTAACAATTGTTCGTGACGTTCATCTATAGGTATATGTATTTATTACGGTTTATTCATGCATACCGTTTTCCACAAAGTAGATGCCTTCAAGTTAAAGTGTCTTACATTGTGATAATGAGAAAAAAAGTCACCCAGTGTCTTCCTATGCAAAGTGCTGATAATGGCAGTGTAGGTGAAAATTAAATCTCAAATTTTCTCATATTTTTTTTTTTTTTTTTTTTTGGTGGGTGTTGGGAGATGTTCTGCAACATTCAATGTCAGTGTCACTTTATCCAGCCCTAAGTTGGTCGCCTCCTAGTTCCTCAATGTCTTTGTTTTGTGTGCACTTATAAACAAAAATCCAACCTGTTAAGAGACAATTCATACATATGAAATGTTTCAACGACGAAGATGATTTTCACAATGGTTATCAAAATGCAGAGCAAACGAGAACGACCCAACTGAGCATGTGCACTAACCTTCTGACCTCATCCGGCACGTAAATATACTCCATGTTGACCAGCGCGGGTAACTCGTCCAGCGCTTCCACAAACTTCAGTTTTCTGCTAAATTTGGAACTAATTACAAAAAACAAACAAATAAACACATTGAAGATGTAGTCTCCCCAATGCAAAACTTCCATCTAAAAAAACCTTTACAGATGCATTGTCTTTGTTCCTCAAAAAATTTGACTTTAGCCCCCCTAACAAATTTTCAACTGAAACACTCTGAAAAAAAAGGCTCTATTTTGGTTTCTTTTGTACACAAATAGATTCGCCCTGGAAGAAGTCAGGTTCCCAGTCCCTACAATATTGATTCAGATATTGGCAGGAACCAGTCTGGCCTACGAGAACTTAAGTACTGTGTGGTGCATATTAGAAGGTGGGCCCATTTTTTTCATTGAATTTCTCATTCAAAACTGGATAACTTTTGTATTACGAGAAAAATGGCAATTTTAAACAAAATCTGTTCGGGGAAACTCAAATATAGCACAGAACATTCTTAAGTATCGTAAACAAGTAATATTATTAAAATCATTTTAATCAGAAATTTGAATGACTGGTCTACTGACCTGATGAACGGTCTGGTGAATCGTACGATGGTCCTGAGCCACATGGTAGGATGGACTATGTATAAACCCTTGAGGTTCTTGCGAAGTCTGGAGACAAGACAATATAAATCAGTGATTATTTCATGCTCCGTATACAAGGACCCCCTCAAGGCTGACAAAGAGAGATAAACAACAGAGACATATATGAGACACTTTGGCCGCGTCTGAATTACTTGGCTATGGCTATGGCTATGGCTATGGCTATGGCTATGGCTATGGCTATGGCTGGAAATAAGACACAGGTCTATGGGAAGTGGATCAATAACGTGACAAGGCTATTCAAGGCAACCTTCAAGAAGTCAAATCTCATCGTACCTGGGGGGACAGATCTTTCTCTGTTGCAGCACCACATCTCTGGAATCAACTACCTCTTCATATCAAAACCTCCACTTCTATTCACTCATTCAAAACATCTCTCAAAACACACCTTATGTCGATCCGTTTTTCCGTAATTAAACTGATTTTGTTTTGTTTCGTTTTCATTGTAATAGCGCCCTGAGCACCTTGGTGGATAAGTGCGCTTTATAAAACTTCATTATTATTATTATTATTATTAACCTTCTCGTCATGTTTTGAGGGTATTCAAAGCTTTACAAGACTTTATACCGTAACTTTCAATTTCTGATGGCATAAGTGTGAAGTGAAAAGGAGGAAGTCAGCTTGTAGTTGATTCTTGCTCGGCTGTATATGATAGCACCACCCAATCATGAGTGACAATCGGTAAGTCAGGCTAGCCAGTCCAGGATGAGCAGAAACCATAACATTCTGGGGCGGTTAGGGTGGTATAGCTTGGGTGTAATTGCTTAAAACCAAGATTGTAAGCCTACTTTCTGTCGATCATCTGATAGCATTTCCGCATCCAGTTCAGGCTAGGGATACGATTCTTGGGGGCTGCTCCGTGGAAGTAGACGATGACGTAGTCGTTGGCAACCAGTAGCTCCAAGGTGCTGATGACATACCTGGGATGCAAAGAAAACAACAAACGAGCGAGTTACTGATTGAGATGTGGTTTTCAAAGTTTACCCCCCCCCAAAAAAAACCCACTGTTTAGTTGCTCTTTAATATTGAGGGGTAATAAATGGATTTTGCAGCACCCTGATACAAACAATTTATCATCATCATCTTCTGGCCTCAACTGCTGTGCATGCTGCCTAACTAAACTTCAATGATAAAATTAGGTAGGTATTGTCTGCTATATTAATAAGATGGGATTTTTGCGTCGGGGTGATGTAAATCAAATTCGGTTTTGCCCTTCACCAACGTATAAACACTGTATACGCAGTGTGTACACACTGAGTGAAAGTTGGAAAAAATCACCTGGGTGGTTGTCTGCTCTAGTAATCAGATGGTTGCAGGTTCAACTCCAACTTACATGTATTATTTTTTTTTAATCACAGACTCCTGGAGGAACTGAGCCTAGATTGCTAATATGATGATGATGGTGTAGGGTGAAACCAATGTATATAACGCACCAACACGTAAATCAAATTTTATCTTTAACTCAGAAAAAAATGTATCCAAGTCTCTAAAAATCTCAAGAAACCTTATCTCAATTCTCATCCACAGCATTTTACACAGTAGTAACTTACAGGAAGAGGTTATTCATGATGTAGTTGTAATCTTTGCGGGACCTGTCTGGCATGTAGCAGGATGCGATTACAATGATGGCATTCACTCCGTCACCATAGTAACCTGTACAAATGGAAGGGTGACAAATGTTACAAAACTTGGTTGGTTATTCAAGAAGAATCTAAGGCAACTCCAGGCCATTGCTTAGCCAGAAACAGGGTTCCCAAAGAAATCTTAACGTGAACTTCCATGACTTTTCAAGGATTAATAAGGGCTTTCCAGGACCAATTCCTGCACTGTTTTACCATCTTAGGACCCAATTTACAATACACTGGCCAATCAACACACTGAAAACAAAGACTGACACAAGCAAAAGTATATTGTAAACTGGTAAGCAATCTAGGAGATGGCCATAGTCAAAAACTACGTATCATCATGTCTGGGTTGTGTCCGATTCCATGACTTTTTCCTTGGAATAGCAACATTCCATGACTTTCCATAATAATTTTAAATTCTAGGATTTTTAAGAATGTTTGTAGTACAAAAGGATTTTCATGTACTTTAAAGCCCAATATTTACACGTACACACTTTTTTGTATCTCGTTGCTAACAGTGACAATCGTTTAAAAAATATTAACGAAAAAAAGAGAAGAAGTCAGTTTGAATTGTTAACAATATTGAACGTTAAGCCCTAGCCCTAGCCGTACCTCCATGAGACAGGACTTTCTTGTAGGGATTGATAGCCCTCATGTCCAGGGTGAATTCCTTGTTGGCTATGACCACCTTACGCCAATTGCGTCTATCCTCCAGCTCTTCCTTGGCCGTGTACTCGGGGATCGGCTCCACGCCAGGAGACGGCATGGTGTCATCTGATGAGGGGGAACAAATTAATGCTAAGTAAGATATCGCAAATATTGGCTGGTTTTTGCTATTTTCTTTGGAAATGCCTTGGTTGTTTTCTGTGTGTGTAAGACCACAAGCAACTAAACACAGAACTGAAACAAAACACAATTTCAATTAGCCTTTTTGAGATATGATGGACACAATAGTAGGCCTCCAAACAGTGACCTCCTTTTGTGTCGCCTCATTTTGTGTCTCAAAAAGCCAAATGGACAAAACTCCCACATAAAAGAACCACAAAAATAAAATGAAATCCACGAACAAATGAATATCACAGTTGTACAATGTACATACAATGTACAAATAAAACAATACAACACAATGCAAAGTTAATAAAATAGCAGAAGTTAACAAAACTACACCAGGTAGGAAAGGAACACAGTATGACACGGCAATCGGAACAACAGAAGGATAGCATATTAATAAGTACGAGATTTTAGAAAAACACAAAAAGTATCACTGAACAAAAGTACATTGAAGAAAATACAAAAATGTAAAAGATTAAAACATATATATAAACAGGATTAAGGAAAACTGAAGTGTATAAAGCAATGTAGAATGTTAGAATGGTTGTCTGTTTGGTTATGGGCTCTGTGCACAAGTACCCCCTCAACGATAAGAAAGGGAGAGTTGGGGGAGACCACTGGGAGAGACATTCCAACGCATGTGTAGATGCTATGGCTTTGTGCACATTCAGAATAAAAGTGGCTGGGCTCGCAAAAGTGGTAAAAAGTACCCCCTCTTTAGTCACGCATTGAGCCCATGAATCAAATTAACACTTAACAGTACAAATTTATAACAGTAAAGATAAGAATGAAAGACCACACAGTATAGGAAGAGTTGAGATTCTGCCTTTAGTTGTAAAACTGCGAACTGCTACAGACTGTTAGAAAGCACATTTCTGGCAAGTACCAAGTTCATTCTACCGATAAGAAGATCCTTGTTGGCATGTGCACATTGTCGTCTCTCAACTTTGCACTATTCGCATGCATGAAGCAGGACAGCAGAGCAATGTATCTTTCTTTGGTCATCGTGATATTGATGTATGTAGTAGTTCACAAATTAATATTAATAGTTCTTGCAAGGAGTAAAGGGATATTTCTCATCAGAGTTAAAATAGATATACGGTACATGTATATGAGTTCATGTAAGTCAGAGCGTATGAGAACAAACAGCAGATCAGACACAGAAAATATTAGAAACACAGAAAATTAAAGGTACATAGGATCATTTACTTTTTGTGCATTTTTGTTGCCTTTGAAGCAACAAACTTGCTCATGATCATCAGAAGGGCCTGCACAAAAACAAGACAACTATTTCTTGTTGAACTTTGAGCTCAGTGGATACTATAAATTTTGAGAAAACAGAGAAAACGTATGCACAATTTTTGGGTCTCGTGACTGGAGCCTGTTCCTAACAAAAAACTGTGCCGGGGGCACACTTTCTTCAACCACCTTCAATGATTGTTTTTTTCTGAATATCATTTCAGGCGGAATCATCTCACAGGGTGTTTAGTACCAGTCCTAACTTCACTTTGAGCAAGAATTTCTCGTTAACTAGGTAGGTACGTTTCCGGGTACCTGTTATTGCAAATGTTCCAACGTACCTTTAAGAAATTATACAAACAGAAAAGGTTGAACTGAAGTGATCAATAATAAAGCAAACATCAGGTGAACAAAACAGGAGCTGGACCAGTGTTCTTGTCAAGTCAATCTCAAGACCTTCCACAAGTCCAGTCACAAGTAATGGGGGTGGGGTGGGGGAAGAATGGGGGTGGGGGGATGAACAATAACAAGGGAATGGCTTATGACTTGACTTCGAACTGGATGACTTGTCAATGACTTGTGAGGACTTGTGACAGACTTGACTACAACACTGTACAGAAAACATGGAGATTAGATGCACACGTACAATGTACAACAGAACAGGTATACAGACAGCCCACAAAAGAATGGATACAGACAAGACACAGAACATACATGTACCTGAACAGAGAACAGGATAACAAATAGAACAGAAACTACACAGGATTGAACATTAAACCACTCACAGAAACGGCAGTTTGAAAACTATATGTACATGTTAAAAATGAATGTTATGTTGTTGTTAGTCCGGCTGTTAGTATTACACGGAGTGTGACGCTAGAGAATGGATGGTGCAGATCGTCCAAATCTTACCATCCCAGGACATCTCAGCGCTACTTGGAGTCAGAACGGCCGGCGTTGAGGGGACACTGGCCTCCCCGTCCAGGCTCAGGGACAGCCCCACGGGGATGGGAACCACCTTCCGGGGACTGTTACTACTCCAGCTCCGCTGGTCTCGACCGTTGGCTGAGAGTTGGAAGTTTTTTGGATTTTATGAATTTTAAGCATGCAAGGGAGGGAGGGGGGGGGGGGTGGAAGGGAAACGATTCCTCAGAGCTATCATACGAAGACAACCAAGCAAAGACGGTGATTTCTGCGGCATTTGGCTGGTAAAATGTGACTGGTAACCAAAAGGACATTTTGGTCGTTTAGGCTGGAAACCAGGGAGTATTTGTTTTGTCATTCTGACCGGTAACCAAATAGGCAATGTGTGTGTCATTTCGACTGGTAACTGGAAAAATTGTGTGTCATTTTGGTTGGTAAAAGGCTATACGTCGTTTTTCATTTTAGCTGGTAATCAGAAAAACGTTATCATCCATTCTAGCCGGTAACCAGAACGAAATATGCAGTTTAACAGAAGCTCTGTGAAATCCAAACTCCTTGTTGACCGAGTAACGTAATTTCATTTTATTATTTTACAGAGGGTAGACTCAAGAGTGCTGTTTTCCAAGATCGTTGCTCAGCAACGTCTTTCGCAGCTTCATGAAATGGTGCCAAGTTTAGACGGTGCAGGCTACAAAAGAAATTGACACCAGTGTTTGATAAAAAAAAAAAGGAACCAGCTTTTTCAGACTCGGGCCGAATTTCAATTTCATTAGTGCTAAGCAAACATCAGCCAAATACCAGTCACAAGCAATATAAATTACATGGCATTTCAGTTGGTAAACCGGTTTAGCTAAGCAGATTTCACCAAATTTCTGTACTTAACAGCTCCGCAATATTTGCCGCTAGTGGTGAACTCAATACCACTTGGCAAAATGATCCAAGATTTCTTCAGGACCAGAGACTTCTTTCTTTCATTTTCAACAGCCAAATCCATCACCCTAAAAAGGGCCCTCCATAAAATCCACTTGATGCACTCAAGTGAGTACCCTCCGTAAAATCAAATCACTTTTATCATTTCGACCCTGTGGATATTCACCTGGTGATGGAGTCTCATCAATGTCATCATCCTCGTCGAATCCATCGTCCCCGGCAAGCCTCTCTGCCCAGGCACTCATGCCTTCCACTGAACCGTCGTCGGATAGTGTGCTGTCACGCTTCCGGGACTTGTTATCCTGTTAATATATAACACGGTGAGGTGAAATATTACAATGTAGGAGAAGGGACATACGATACGGTGGGGGATTGCACGTTTGGAATGAAGAGGTCAGTTTTTATTGTCACTAGAGGCTTCCTGAAGTTTATCACCTTTTCCTCATTCAGGGTTCCCACAGAAATCTTAAAATATAATTCCAAGACTTTTCCATGACTTTTCCTGGACAAAATTCGGGCTTTCTATGTCCAATTCCCACACTGTTTTGGCATCTTAAATTAGGAGCCTATTTACAATGCACTGGCCAGTCATCACATCGAGGCAAGGGATACCACTGCCTTCCAGCCTTCCAGTTTGACACAAGACCACTGAGCATCACAAAAGCATCAGAATGTTGCAGCGATAAACGCATACAGAGGAAGTAAACTAGAATGCAAACAGGGAGAATATTAATAACGCATCACCAAGTATGGGCTGTGCAGGATTCCATGACTTTTTAGTGACTTTTTTTCTTGGAATATCAACTCTCCATGACTCCTGGTAAATACCAAAATTTCATGTCTTTTCCAAGACTTACCATGATAGCTTTAAATTCTAGGATTTTCAAGGATTTTCACATGACTGTGGTTACCCTGTTTGTTTGCAATGGACTTAGAATTACACCTGCCATGGGGACCTTTTTTTTTTGCAAAGTAAATACATACATTTTCTAACCTTTTCTGCATTTAGCAGCTCACGATGAAATTGTGCTCAGTTCAACTGCATTTCCAAACTGCCATTGGGAAGTTGTGCTTATTGTGGACTACAACAAGTAAATCTCATCCAAACAAGGGAGGCATCATCTACAATCTTGCACACTAAACCAATTAAAGCTCCTAAAATGCTGCCAGTGTATGTGTTTTACCCTTGGTGGTACCTGCCAAAAGCTTGGTAAAATTGTGCTTGATTTTGACTTCTAAATCACATCTAAACAAAGGATTAATCACCTCATATCACACATATCCATCCCATTAACAAGCTTCTCAAATGCTGAGCGGGCATGTGTTTTATCACTGACCTCTAAATCACATCCACACAAAGGATTCATCACCCACAATTTCACACAACGATCCCATCAAAACCTTAAAAAAATGCTGCCATTGCATGTGTTTTGTGTGATTTTGCTCACTTTTGACTACTAAATCACATCAACCACGTTTACACACATCAATCCCACCAACGTGCTTCCCAAAATCCTGCCAGTGACTGTGTTTTACCTTTGGTGGTACCCTCCTCTTAAAGAAGGAGTCCTCTTCCTGGAGACTGTCCACACCTGCCAGCTTCTGTTGAGAGAACTCGTCATCTTGCCACTCGTCGGGCAACTCCACTCCCTCCATATTCTTCTTGGCTTCTGCTGTTCTGACGGACATCGTCCGCTGAGGGGACTTCCTCTCCACGTTCTCGCTGAGGGATTTCTAAAAATAACAGACAAATGGAGGTAGAACAAATGAATCCAGTATGCAAACAAGGCAGAAGTTGTTTTTTGCGCTTTGTTATTTATGAAACAATTTCGAGATTTGTCATTCATATTGTTTATCACAAAGATTTCTAAATAAGAGTCTTGCTTGTGTCCTGGGGCAAGACACTGAACTTCAATTGCCTTTCTCCACCCAGGAGTATAAATGGGTACCTGTGAGGATAGAGACCAGATTGCGCTGATCTAGGCTGCAGAAAAGTGGTCTTATGGCTGGTTGAACAGGGCAGTCCTGTGACAGCTACCGGTATCTTTGGTGGAAAGCCCTATATAAACACCTCACATTATCAATTTATAAAACTGTGGAACTGTTTTTGTAGTAACTCTGACTGAAAGGAAATAGGAATGCAGAAGACATGGACATTTACTCACTTTTCGTTCTTTTTCAACAATGACATCCATCAGCTTCTTATTATCATCCCATTCTCCATGGATGTCCTCTACCATCTCGGTGTCGACAGATACAGACCTCTTGGCAGCAGGTGGCAGACCCTTGTTTTCAGTGTCAGCCCCCTCCTCCTCTGTCCTATCCAATGTGTCCTCATCGGTTCCGGTATCGTCCAGCATGTCGAGGCTTCTCATACTGATGGGGGTCAGGGGGGTACCTGTGTCTGATAGCATCGATATCGGAGTTCCGGCGGACATCAGCCTGGCTGATTTGGGTGTTGACTTGGCTGTTAAAGCTAGTGTTGAGGGTCTGACATGTGGCTCTGTTGTAGAGCCTTCCACTTCGCCGTCGGCATTGACATACTCCAGGATATCCGCGAGGCCAAACATGGACGTCTGCCGGTTGTCATCCTCGATTTCAATGTCCACATCCTTCATGGAGTCTTCAACCACCAGCTTTGTCTTCCCTGCTGTTGTCTGGTTGGCAACCTCTTCGGCATTACTGCTGACATCTTGGAGTCCCTGTTTACTTATGACGACATTGACCTCTATTGGTGATTTAGGGGCTTCGTCCATCTCCTCATTTGGTGTCATGTCCGCGGAGATGGTCAAAATTGGTGTTTCTTTTTTGTCCAACTGTTCCGCAAAATCCTTTGATTCCTGAGCCAGCTCACGGGGGACTTCCTGCTCAACTGGCAATTCTGTTGTAGCTATCAACTTCTCCTCAGAAAGCTCACCAGCCTTGTGCAGAGCATCCTGATCTGATGACAGGTCTTCTCCTTCCTCAACAGATGGCAGCACTTCTTGTGAAGGCTGCTCTTCAGCCACTGTCATGACAGATTCTTCTTGGGATATTACAACCTGAGCTATCTCTTCCTCAACTACTAACTGAGGTGGCTTTGATGAGAACTCCTCTTGTAAAACCTCTCTGGGTGCCTCTTCTTCCTCCAGCCTTGTTGGCTGATCAGTTATGCTTTCTTCTGTAACTTCCCCATTAACTGAGACTTCAGATGATGGCAAGGCAGATTCTTCTTGGGATATTACAACCTGAGCTATCTCTTCCTCAACTACTAACTGAGGTGGCTTTGATGAGAACTCCTCTTGTAAAACCTCTCTGGGTGCCTCTTCTTCCTCCAGCCTTGTTGGCTGATCAGTTATGCTTTCTTCTGTAACTTCCCCATTAACTGAGACTTCAGATGATGGCAAGGCAGGTTCATGCTTCACTGTTTCCGAAGTCTGCATCACATCCTCATCTTCAGTGGCACTGTTAAGCTGGTCCCCAGATGCTGCTGTATGGGCTTCTTCAGAATGTGAGCAATTCTTGAGCCGTTTCTCCTCCAAGAAGGCAAACTTGGCCATCATAAGGACCCCTTCTACTAAGTCACTAGCCTCCTCTTGAAGAGCAGCACTGTCTGCTCTTTCAAGTACATTTTGTGGACTGCTTCTTCCCGATTCAGCAAATCCAACATCTGTCGGAATAGGAATTACATCTGTTTCTTTACTATCAGTCTGCATTTCTTCTGCATAATAGTCATCAATGACTCCAACTTGTACATCTCCAGAGAAGTCTTCCGACAGAGTAACTTCAGGGATGCCATTGATACACTTTGCCAGATCTTCAACTTCTTCTTTCTCTTCTTTGGAGTCAACCGCTTGATTTTCATCCTCCTCCTCAATTTCCTCTTGGATGTCCGCAATCTGAAAGTTTCCAGCTTCATGTGAAAGGTCTGTCACTATATATGAGTCCCCGCTGGACGGGTCGTCGGAAATTATATCTGAGGTGAACTCACTGTCGGGACTTGTAACTCCACTGGAGCGAGCGGGTCCCTCATCTGACATTGGGGAGAAATTCTGCTCCGCGGATGCAGTAGCTCCTCCCACAGACAGCTCAAGAGGGAGAACATCAAGTGCGCTGGTACTATCAGGACCTGAAACCTCATCCACTACATCTGGAGCAGACTCCAGAACACCTGTTGTTGCTGGTAGTATTGTTTCTTCGGCTTTATCCACCTCTGATTCTTTGTTAGGTTGGAGGTGTGATTCCAATGGCACATCATCTGACACACTGACATGATCACCACCATCATCAACAATGTTCTCATCAAGCTGATCAGGTTCCTGTGTATCTAGTTCCTCTGGACTTTCTGGGGCCAGGAGCTCATCTATTGAGTCTGGAACTGATTCCACTTGATCAATTTCTTGTGATGATACTGTTTCATCATCTTTCATTATCTCGTCAGGCTGCACTTGAGGTTCCTCCAAATCTGTGGCATCTGGAAGCACCATTTCAATTACTGCACCTGCCGTTAGAGTGGCATTTTCCTCACTTTCTTGTACCTCTTTAGTATCAGCTGAAGCATCATCTGCTTCAACATCACTTGGTTCCTCACTCACATCCTCAACCGCTGATACATCTTCTGAATGACCGGCATGGTCTTCAACACCATCGTCTTCCATCTCTTGGAAATCATCTGTGGCATTATCAACCACATTCTCCTCTTGATCATCAGGTTCCAGAGCCTCTTGCCCCGTAGGACTTGCTGGGGCTGGGAGCTCATCTGACCCCTGGACAGATTCCAGTTGATTGACTGCTTCCGATGATATTTCCTCATCTTGCGCAGAGTCAAGATGTGATGCGGATGTCCCTAATGCTGGAGTATCTGAAAGTACTGGTTCAATGGCTGCATCTTCTGCCAGAGTAGCACAACTTTCCTCACTTTCACAAACCGCCTGGATATCAACTGGAGTACTATTGGCAAGAACCTCATCTTGTGCACTACTCACATCCTCCTCATTTACTGATACGTGTTCCTCTTTGGCTTCCCCTTCTTCACACTGATAATCATGTGTCTGAGATATTTCTATGTCATGTGCTGTTGATTCAACGACTGCTTCAAGTGAGGTCTCAACCAAATCCGAGTCAACCTCAGGAATGTCCGCTATCTCATTATCATTGGAAGTAGTAACTGGAGGCTGGTCTTGAAGTTCCTCTTGCTCGGAATCATCTAAGTTCTGCTGTTCCTCTTTTGTTGTTCTGTCCACAATACTATAATCGGCAGATTCTAAACCAATTGGTGATTCCATAGCATCCAGAGACTGTGAAAGTTGAGTGTCTACTTCCTCTTGGTCTCTCTTTAAGGTTATAGAGATACTCTCATCCGGTGACAGGTCTGCTTGTATGTTACCAGACATCTCATCCAATTCTACATCTGCCTCATCCTGTTTGTTTTGCTGAGCAGATGCTTCATCCTCTGACCCCCCAGAAGCCGCTCTCTGATTGTCCCCAACAGAGTCCTCAGGTGACTTGTCATCATCAGTGACATCAAGATCAGAACCTGGGGAAATCTGTTCCTCCACCTCCTGATCAGCTTTATCCAGATCCATGTTGTCCATTTCATTGAATCCCTCATCAGGTTGGTCTTGTACCTCGACTGCTACTTCCTCATCACCCACATCTTGGTTCTCATCGGATGGCAGGTCATCAAGAATGTTATCTTCTGGTTTTTCAAGGATGTTTTCAGTTTCGGAGGTCTCTTGGTCATAGTCCGATGAGGTCCGGGATATCGTAATTTCTGGAGTTGGATGAAGAAGCTCTTGAGCCTGGACTTCCGCTTGATCAGTTTCAATGCCATCAAGATCAAGGAGATTAGAGGATCCTTCTACTACTGGGGGAATAGCTGGGGCTAAATTTTCACCCACCACAACTGGAGAATCAGAGTAGGAATCGGTGTCAAGTAAATCAGAAGGTTCTGCTACTACCCCAAAACCTGGACTTCCAGGATGATAGTCTGCAACAGCACCAAAATCAATCGTAGATGACTCAGTTGCTGCATTCGATGAAGTTTCTGTTGGTGGTTCTGATGATTTGAATGGATTTGTACTAGCTGCTGCAACGTCATTAGATGCTTCATCTGTGAAATCACTTGTTGGGGACCCGAAAGCTTCTATCCCAAATGGGTCATTATCTGTCTGACTTGGTATGGCAAAGGGATTGTTGTTTGATGCATCAACTGGGAGGACTTCAGCATTATCTACTGCAACTTCTAACTGAACGTCGGAAGAAGGGTCCAACCATTTTTGATCCGCTGCATCAGGACTTCCCGGGAGTTGATTCATGAAGTCTCCAAGATCAGTCGCAGAACTCTCAACAGTTGTCGAGACAGACGCTTCGATAAGAGAATCACCTGAGGCTACAGGTGCTTCAGAGACTGATGATGCAAAGGGATCCAAATCCAGCAAGTTATTTCTGTTTGGATCTTCATCTATGAAAGGATTTGCCGAGACAGAGACGGTAGTCTCAAGGACTGGTGCTGGTAGGCCCACATTGGTGTCAAAGCTGAAGAGATCGTTTGTGGTGTTGGCCTCAGCAGACTCGCCAAATGGATTTTGATTGGGGTCGGACGGGGCTGCCGGCTGTGACATGAAGGCATCCAGCCCCACAAAATCTCCTTCTGTGGAATCTGCAAATGGATTGGAAGCAGAATTGGCGCTGTCAAATTCTCCCATCCCAGGCTTCTGTGTTGATGCAAGATTGTCTAGCCCAAGGAGGTCCTCTGATCCACTTCCAAAGCCCATGGCATCACTACTTGGACTAGAGGGTGTAATGCCAATGGTGTCAACGCTGTCCCCGGAGGAGAATGCCCCGCTTCCTGACGTCACCATCCCGTCCTGGTTTCCAGAGAATGGGTCCAAATCCAGGAGCACTGATCCGGCGTCGATGCCGCTGGAATCCGGCGAGCTTATCGCCTGACTGTCCCCAATCCAGAGTGGATTATCCATCAAGACTTGCTCATTGGCATTGTTGGTATTGTTAGAGAGTTTCAGGAGGGTGTCGTTCATGTCAGTCAGGTCAGATTCCGTTGCCACATCTTCCTCGACCTGCTGATCTTCATCTGGGGAGGAATCCTCCTGACTGTCTAGAAAGTTTTTCACCAGGGGAAGCACCTGCTTCCTGGATGCTTTGACATTGCCCTGGTAGTACACAATCAGACCAGAGGAGTTTGTGTACAACTCTGAGAGAACCAGCTCAGGAGATGCAGATTCCTCCAGAGTCTGGATCAGTTCATCTTTCATTGAGTCAGAGGAATTGGAAGAGTAGACACAGATTTGCCTGTGTGCCTTGGCATCCTCTGCTACAGTCAGAGCCATCAGGACAAGAAGTCGTAGGTCTTTCAATGTGCAAAAGTCTTGGAGTCCAATTTCAAAGTCCGGCTTTTCTACAAATTCCTGAGAAAAAAAATACCAAAATATTAAAGTAAGTAAACAATTCTTTTCAATTTTCTTCTGAAGTTTAACAAGCACACAGAACCTCTTGGAGAGGAACAATGTTTTAGCTCCTATCGTTATGATCGCTCACTTCTGAAAGTTTTCAAAGAACCTTTCTGGTATACATGTATACAACGACACAAAATAAAGTTTTTCTCTGTGATGACTAGAGACTGGAAATGCCATGTAAATGTATAATATGCCAGCTCAGGCATTTTTGATAAGAGATTAATGGTCAAGATTACCGACCTCGGCATGCAGCAGTGATGTTATCTGCATTCAGTCATGATAAACACCCGGTACATGTACGGCTAAGAAAGTCATGCACAGAAAATTCATACAGAGCTTGTACACATGCATCTATGGGCTTGGTCTTGAACTTTTGAAAATCTTCCATTGATTTAGCAAGAATGTTTGTGGGATTTTTTTCTGTTTCGTTACTGAGGCAGATACCAAACCATGCAACTAAACATAGTGCCATGGATTGTGATTAACTTTCATTTTAATGATTAACGTCCATTGCATGTGTTACCACAGTTTGTATCAAATATGAAATGAAAGAAAAAAAAGAGTAGATGTTCATTTCTTCTCAAGTATAAATACACAAATGTGAGATTTGGAATAGTCTTTAGCAGTCAATTATTAGTTTCTTGAGCAAAAACACTTGCATCTGCTAATACAATTGTAGCAAAGTTTGACAATTAAGCAAAAAAGGAAATTAAAAATTAAAAACACATCACCTACCGTAAGACGTATGGGTATTGAGCTCATGCCAATATTCATGGAGGCACCGGAGACACATTTGAAATCCTTCCTCAGAATGTCAGTGACTGAGAAATCTGTAGGAGACAGGCACAACAGACTCAATATTAATACAAGGATTGCTACAGTTGGTTCAGTTTAGCAATCAAATGTTGATCGATTTATTTGGGTGGTTTGCTAAAAGAAAAGGGAAGGGAAGGGATTTCTTGCCCAAGTTCATGAACTAGCCAACTTCCTTTCGACAATAAAGAAATGACTCAATTAAAACGATGTTACGATGGTATACATGTTTTTAACATGTCCACATTTAAAAAAAAAAATCTCTTCAGGGGTTTTCCAAATCATGGCTTTATCTCCAGCTTTGGCTTCTTCTCTAGCACCAGAATTATTTAGAAGCATGTCATGTACGAACTGAATGGAAATGCTCTAAATCAGGGCTCATATCATTATAGGCCTGGGGATCTGAAGTTGCTGAAGCAGAAAACGTAGCTATAGGCTAATGAGCCAGAGCCCTCCAAGTAAGGGGCCTAAAATTGTCTGGTGTCGAAACCTGAGACGAAGGCGAGGTTTGAAAATCATGTACATGTAAACAGGGCCTCTGATTGTCTGTTGATTTCATTTCAAGATATCATGCATTCCATTTCAACCATGTGCGTCACGCAGTGGATATCTACTGAAAATGACTGGACGAAGACTTTAATCAAACAATTTTTGCTACAAAATTTAAATAAATTGTTTAAGTCTCAGATATTTTTTTTTTTTATAATTTACGTGTATGCAGAAATTATTTAACTTCAAAAGTTTTGTTACAATTAATCCCTCAAATTCAAATCATTTTTTTTTAAAAAGCTGAATTCCATTACAAAAAGTGAATTTCGTTTGTATTCTAACCAGTTCTGGCCTGACACTTGAACACACTGACTGAATCAAATGAACACATACCAGACATGTCAGCTTTGGCCTGTTGCAGTTCCTGATACATCTCCTCTTTGTTGAGATCTGGGCAGATCTTGGACAATGCCTCCACCATGGCAATGTCCTTGGGTGTGGCTTTACCAGCCGAGGCTGACAGGTTGACGGTGTCGACCAGAATGGGACCTGTGACAGGAAACAATGCAATTAATTAAACCAGCTACATAGGCCTATATATGTACACTCTTACATGTAATTGTTTTGTCAGTTTAATTACGATATTTCCCACATAAAATTTGTACCGTACATTTTACATGTACATACAGTATTGTACAATGTATAGTGTAAAGCATTAAAAATTATCACAGTAAAATGTGTACAATAAAAAAAAATTCAGTCTGCAATAAGTGCAGGTGTACGTACATGAACATGTACATGTACATGTATGCATGTATGCATGTATGCACACTTTTTATGAAAATGTGCGAAGTATACAGCACTGTACATTTTTTACATAAATGTATGTTCTGGTATGTTTGATTAAAGATGCGTGCCCCATGCTCTGATAACAAACAAAAATACTGCAAATCTCTGCAAATTAAACCAGCTCCCGATTCCCTCTTTAACTACGATATTTTGAGAGAATAGTTTCCGATAACAGTACAACCAGGTGCAATCAGTGATTTACAGTCAAAGTCGCTGACCGACGCAAGCCTACACAGCCGGAAATGATATGCAGCTGCTCCTATTATATTTCATAGACATATTTCTCACGCTGACGACAGTTGATATCATACCACTTGTATCATAATCCTCCGGATCTTCTTCAATACGTAACATACATTGTACAGTAACACCATTACAGATGATACATCATGGCTCTAGTTTGAGGAATCTGATTGCGTGTTCTGCATCATTTGTATATTGAACACGATCCTTTTACCCTACAGGTATGTTACCATGCTATCAAACACGACTGAGTAGATAACAGGCATGCAACTGGGAAATCACACAAAAAAAGAGGAAATTCACATTTTTCCCAGACTTTGTACAGTGTTTTTCTATTTTCAATGGCACACTTGGGAAGTAAAAAAGAGGAAATCAGCTGATCCGAGGAAAAGTTGCATGCCTGAGATAACTGTCTGAATTGAAAAAAGTTTTTAAGACATAAGCTGAATGTGTGCTTTAAAATACACAGTTTTACATAGGCGTACCGGTACATGTATGTAGGTCAGTAACACAGGCACGTTACTGGAAAATCACCAAACAAATAAAAACAAATTATAATACAAAACAAAATAATAAAGGATATTTTAAGTTTGACAAGACTGTCTACTGATGTACAGACATTATGTTGTCTTTAGTTGGCACACATGGGGAGTAGAAAATGAGGAACTCAGTTGATCCAGAGGAAAAATGCATGCATGATAATACACTGAACTAAAAAGAAATGTCCATTGAGATTAAATATTTCAGGATTTTTTTGAAATGGGAAAAACAAAGTATTTAAATGCTTAATATTTTACTTGTTATGTTATCTGTTAAAATATACGACATTCATGCTACGGTGAGCTGGCTGATACAAAATGCAGCCATGTATGGCTAAACTCTGTGGCAGTCACAGAAATCTAATATCAAAATCTAATAAATGTTCCAGTGCACCTTTTGGTGATTATAATGACGACGACATCCTGAAATTGGTGCGTGTCAAACTGACAGGTTTATTGCACATTGACAGTGCAAGTTAATAACACATTCTTGAACGTGTTAGCAATGGACTGCACATACATGTACACTGTACTACATACGGTATTTGTAAGTGTGTATACATGTACATTTGTACATGTACATGTGTAAAATAACAATTTACTTTTTGGAGTAACTCTGTTAAAGGGAATATACATCATTTGCTTTTGCTGTAATTTTCAGAAATGGATGGAATTGGGGGGTTGGAAATATATAGCAAATATAGTTACACTGACTTTTTTGAGGTTTTGGGTTCAAAAATGCTATAAAAACCAAGAAAAACAATCATTTTCCTGTAGTCTGGTTCCCTGACTCCATTTAAGAAGAAACAGAGCAGTTTACATACATTGGGGAATTGTAAGGTCAGGGAACCAGTCTAGCTGGCTTGTACCCGTTCATAGGTGTGTAATCGATTGCAAACAAGTGCGATGGTCAATTGGGGCCAGTATTTGAAAAAAAGCCAGTTTTTTCCAACGCTGATCGGCCGATCAGCGTTGGAAATTGATACAAAAATACCACTTTTCTTGAAAATGACAGTATACCAGGTGCCATGATTTTACAGGATGCTTTACACTGTCATTCAATAACAGTCCAGCAAGGTATTTCAAAATGATTTGGTAGTTTTATTTTTTGATGTTTGCAAATGTTGTATTTTCCCTTTAATCATCAAATGATTTATGAAAAGTGCGGGATGATATTGTCAACTGAAAAAAAGTCTGAAAATTGGATGCCAGGTCTGACAGATGCATTTCTTTCTAAACTGATAATGTCTTTCTCTCAGATTCATCAAGTCTGATTTCAGACAAATGTCTGAAAAATCTTTTGCCTGGGTTAAAGTGCAACAGTAATGTTAGCTTTTCCTATCCCCTAAACCCTCATTTTGACCTCTGCCCATCAGTTCTGTCTCATTTTGCCAGGACGCCTCACCTTTCTGTAGCATTTAAACATTAGGCCTAGTGCACTGTGAGCTTCCACTTCAAAACTGTAGAAACATTTCAGTAACTTGTTTAAATACAACTGTACAGCCAGTGCACCGTACACTTTTTAAAACAAACATGACTTCAGGTACATGAACTTAAAATAATTGTGCTCTGTAATAATAATGGAGTGTTATTCCTTTGGAATTGAGTAAACATCAGATTTGCTCTGTGGTGTACGGACTAGAGACAGGATGCATGCACATCCTATGAAAATAAATAATTAATCATGTGGGAAAATAATGTGGATAAACTGACAATGTTTTCTTTCACTCAAACTCCCCCAGGCAACAAAACAAAAGCGTAAATGAATTAAATCAAGGTAGGTAAAGGTTGGGATTTTGTTAGACCTATTATTATTTTTTTGGCAGTACATGTTGTATACATACATACTACTATGCATACAGTGGTACATGTACATGTACATGTACATATTTGCATGTTGTGTATTTGATTGGGCATTACATGCTACCAGTTGGGCTGTCCATTGCAGTAAATTTGAAACTGCGCTTCACCGAATATTCCAATATTCGAAACTCTCCGATCAGGTTTTAGACAACCAGCTGCAATGTGTGCCACGCTGGTCAAAAGTTAAATTTGAGTGCAGCGATTGATATCATATGACTGGTGCAAAGTTTTACAGTTAGAGTTTTACAATACGTACACCTGTTTGAAGGATGGGAACAATGAACTGCCGTCGACAAAAAAGGTTACCGTCGACCAAATAAATGGAATCTGACAATAAAACGCCAAATTTTGATTAAAATAACATCACAGTTGTGTGTGCACTTACGGAGTGTTTTTTTGTCTTTGAATATTCAATCTGGCCAAAAGCTATTCAAATATTCGGTTACTTACTGATTGAATATTCAAATATTTGGTACATTCCGGGCAGCCCTTACGTACGTCTGTATGAAGGAAATTCATTGCCTACTAACTAATTCCATCTTTGAATCAGTTTTTCACCATAAAAAAAAAAAAAAAATTGATAGAACTTAGAAAAATATGTAAACTTCAACTCTGAAATTCTACAGTTATTGGATTACCACAAACAGTTGAGAAACACAGCATTACCGTATTTGTGTTTTGGCCTCAAGAACGTGTACTTCTATCTACAGTACATGTACATGTACATTGTAATACTGTAAAATTATATGCAACTTGTACGTGTACAACACCAGTGCATAACATTTTAATTTATAGACTCCAACAAAGCCTAAAGGAAAGTGTATTATTCTGACTCCTCAGGTCCTCAATATTCAATCAACAATTGGACCAATCATTGCAATCCAATCAGACAGCTGAAAAGCCCCTGGACTTTCCAATCAATCACATTACAGGACCCTGTATTGAGATAATAAAACCCCAGTCATTATAGAGCACTCTTGTTTCTTTGTTTTGTTGTGTTTAGCTTTTTTTTCACTAAAGACAGACAGGGAGAGGAGATAATCTATTCATCAATACTGACAGCTGTGCCGGTCTGGCAATTTACAATGTAGGTTACAGCTGAGGTTTTCAGATATTACAGGGGGTTTTGCAGACAAGTTGCTTCGGAAAGCATCATTTATGGGGGAATTGGGTTCAGATAGCAGTTTTTAAAAGGCACTTTTTCATTTTTTATTAATCAAATGACAAACTCCTCTGTCTTCCTAGCTGCCTTTGTGTCTTAAAAACACAGAAGACTTTTAACATGTTTCAAAATGACCTTGGTGCCCTACATTTTTGCAAAAATGTTAAGGCCAAAAAAGATGGCCTTGCCCTAAAAAAAAAAAAAATTAGATATTTGTAACAAATAAATAATGGTTGAAATATATGTACCATGGTACCGAAGGCTAAACGGAAAAAGCTTGAATTCACATTATGCGATATCAACTAATTTTTGCAGGGCGGGTCAAAATATCAATGAAAAGTCACATCACATGCAAAGTATCGTTCAATCCTTACAGTAACAGTACGAATCTCAGAATTTTTTGCCAAATTAATTAATTAGGCTACATTTATTGTATTCTCTCCACAAACACAGACAGTTTTGTTTTTATTTGCACAAAAACAAGAAGCTATAAAAGAAAGACATAAAAAGTGAAATAAATGTCACTCAGAGTTTTAAAGTATACAAATAGTAGCCTTGTTTTGTTATCGTGTATTAGGCCTACTACCGGCTTAATGTCATTTTCGTTGCTGGGATTAAAAAAAAAAAAAAAAAACGACCGACCTACCCTATTTTTTCTGGCCCGTTACGCCAACATAACTTCTTTTTTTTTTAGGCCTTAGCGACTTCCTGTAAAAAAAAAAAATGCTATTAACCCTTACCCTGGCAAAAATCTCCGGTACCGTATTGGAACATTTTTGCAGAACTAAGGAAGGTTTGATGTCCTGCAAAGTGTAGGAGTTTGGATGGATTGTGAAAATCCCTAGCAAGATGCCCAATGGGTATGAGAAATCAATTTATTGAAGAAAAAAAAA